TTAACGAGACGACGGTGACGTAACATAAGTTACGTGTGGCATCGCGGAACGACGGCGGGTTAAAGGGACGGGCGGGGAGGAAGAAAGGGGGAGCGAGAGAGAGAGAGAGAGAGAGAGAGAGAGAGAGAGGGGGATCGGCGGCGGCAACGGCAACTCGGCAGTAGCGAGTGAACGCAAAAGAAAGCACCCTCGCTCTCGGGGCCCGCGCGATGCAAAGACGGGATATAAATAAGCGGCTGTCGTTTGCGGAAGCAGAAAACGGGCAAAAGGACAGAAATAAAGAAGAAGTCGAGGAAGAAAGGGAGCTAGCGACGGAGAAAGGAATAAATAAGTCGAGGGCAGGGGGGAGCGGACGCGGAGGAAAGGAGAAAGAGAGGGAGAGAGAGAGAGAGAGACGGGAGGAGAGTCGGCAGCCCGGCCTCTCGGGTCCCTTGTCGCTTCGCTCGACCAACGTCCCCGATCTACTACTTTCGCGGTAGATACGATACGTCCTCTCGCATCGGAGAGCTTTTATTCCCGCTGGCAGGTGTACCCGCGTCTCGTTATCCGCGGAGTCACTTTTTTTCGCAGGGCGGATTTTTCGGAGGCGCGCGTTCCGTCGAGAGCGGGACGGACCGCCGCGCCGGCCTCGACCTCGACTAACGATGATCCAATCAGATATGAGATAAACGGATCAATTTATCCCGCGATATGCCTGGCCCCGGATTAAAATTAATACGAGTCTCTCGCGTGGTAGGAGCGCAATAGTTATGGGTCAGCGCGAAGCCCCTCGCTCACGGTCACGCAGGCCAATTAATTCTCTTCAATTTAATTGGACATTTTTAGGGTGATTTTAAGCCGGGAAAAGATCCACTCCCAAGATTCGCGCCGCAGAATCCAAAGGCAGCAGCAACAACATTGAGAAGGGAAAAAAAGAACCGTTGAAACTGCCCAAGGACAGGACACCCTGCATACGCGCGTATACGCGGCGTGCATATATGCGGGAGCGGAGCGGAGCAGAACAGAACGGTGCGGAATCGAAGGAGAAAACGGAACACGGAGCGGCGGAGAAGCGCGAGCTGACTGCGGCAGGGGCGCAGCATGTTTATTGGCGCATCTCTCAGTCTTAAATCTTTATGTTGTCTCCGCGACGGGGTCCGCTCGGCTATATCCCCCCCCTCCCGGTCCCATCGGCGCGGCGGGCCCCACCGCGTCGGAGAAGGACGGAGGAACCGAGAAGGGCAGCGGAAAGGGCCCCGAGAGGGAGCGAGCTCGGCCAAGTCGGGAGAGCGAGAGCGAGAGAACTAGAAAGAGAGGCGTTCGCCGGGGCACACGGGGAGAGATATATCTTCCCAGGGAGAGTTGCGGTCGCGAAATCGAGTCAAGAGAGTCGGACAAACCGACGACCGTAGGCGCGCATCCACCGCATTACGCACACAGAAGCCGCGATTTTAACGTGCCTCGAGAAACGGCCGCGTGTCGCTCGAGCGAGGGGGGAAATAGCCCCGTTGTCTGACGCCGAGAGCGCGTTATGCAGAATTTTAGAAAACCACCGACGGCCGGTCGTCGCGAAAAGCGCGGGAAATGCGACGCGGCGGAGCAGGGGGGGGGGAGCGGGTCCGACGTGAAGCCGTACCGATAGCGCGCCTCGTTCGATGTACGTCATCGGCGGAATCGGCGCGATTACGATCCTTTCCGCGTATCGCGGGGATATCGCTCTCGAGAGGTGTTCAGAGACAAAGCTCAACGTTGCCCGGTAATTTCCGCGCGCTCT